CCATTTTTAGCCACATATTGCACATTTATTCCTTTGTGACTTTTAATCAAATGCTGTTTGTTTATGACTTGCATTTCCAGTCAGCCCAAGCGATTTGCAAGCTTAGTGAAGTTCTTGGTGATTCATTGTCTTCTTATCATCGTGTTCTCCTGGATGCTCTCATGAAGGAAATACCTGGTCGCATATGGGAGGTTGTCTAATTCTTCATTGTGATTATTCACTGTTTATATATGCATTAACTGATTTCTGATTAGGTGAAATCAGTAGGAGACTTGTGAATGTCATCTCAACCTATATAGTTTTACATGCTGCTAACAGCTTCTATATACAGGGAAAGGATGCTCTTTTAGTTGCAATAGGTGCTCTTTGCACATCCTGCCGTAAAGCTATTTCTACTGAAGACCACAGTGTTCCAATAGCCATTTTAAGTCTCGTATCTTCTGCATGCACAAAGAAAGTCAAGAAATTTCGTGAAGCATCATTCTCCTGTCTAGATCAGGTAAATATTCTTTTGGCCCAACAAATCCTCAAATGGTGATTCCTGCAAAGATGTGTTCTTCTTTCCTCCAAGGATAGGTTGTTGAACTCTTGAGAACCACAAACTCTCAGATAAATTTCATTGAACATGTTACTGAATTTCATTTATTACATCACTCATAGAGTTCTTCTGTTGCTGACATTCTGGTAGTCCTCATGGCTAACAAATTCTGTTTTAGCCTGGTCATGTAAAATGCCTGGAATTTAACTCTTTCACAGTTTCACCTACATCTAAATTTGTATATGCATCTGCCCATTTGCAAATAATGATCAATAACTGAAATATATCCTCAGTCTAGCTTTAGATTTGATTCAATATGTTTCTTTGTATATCTTGACCATGGTAACTGAAATTTTTGACATGTTCTTAGGTAATCAAAGCCTTTGGCGATCCAGAGTTCTTTAATCACGTTTTTCCAATGTTATTGGACATGTGCAACTCAGCATCTGTCAGTAAAACTGGTCAAGCACCTTTGGCAAGTGACACTACAAAAGCAGGTTTGTATGAAAACCACTAATTTTCATGTTTCCCTCACTTCTTCAATGACTATTACACAGTTTTGTATGCAGAATCTGATGATATCAAAGATGTTTCTGTTCCACTTGACAAGGTGATGAATTGCATAACATCTTGTATCCATGTGTCTTGTGTCAATGATATTCTTGAGCAGAAAAAGAACTTGATGCATGTCTTGTTATTTTGCTTGTCACCTGGTTTAGCATGGACGGGTATATTCTTCATTCCTGTGTATATATTTTTCCCTCTCTTTTAGTTTCGTAAACTTGGCAGCTTTACCAATTAAACTATAATTTACAGTCAAAGTGTCAGCATTTCCTTCAATCAAAGAGCTCTGCTTGAGGCTCTACAGCGTTTTGGAGGACTCCAATGAAGCCATTCTACAGGCCAGTGCAACTTGTTTTGTTCAAGAGGTAACTGGACTGGACTGCTAAATGCATATTTATTCGACAGAAGTAGCTGTTTATAATCTGATTAATTCTTTTTGCTATTCCCAGCTGCTCATCGGTGTGGCACCCAAAATAATTGAGTGTATAATTACAATAAAAATTGCTCAGGTACATAATTTCTCTCTATGTTTTGGTTATATATCCATGTTATGTTAACTTGCTTAAAAGTCCATTTTAGGTTCAGTCTCTATCTCTATGGGTTGCATCCATGTATGTGCAAATGCTTTCATTTGAAAGCGTCATAAATTTTTAATAATGTTGTCAATATGAAAAAATTAATTTCTATAATTGGCATAGGTTTTTGGCTCTAACTTAATATAGAGAAGATTAGTTTTGCTGCATCAAATTAGAATACTGGACAACAGAAGAACGATTAGTCTGCTGGAGAATCTCCTTTTGGGTTTTATTTCTTACACAATTTTCTGTCCATCACATCGTGTCCAATCCTAGGTTCATGTTGCTGCATCAGAGTGCCTTCTGGAAATCACCAAGTTATGCAAACATATTTCATCAGTCCACTGGACAGAAACAGGAATAAAAGCCGAGCTTCTAAATCAAATTGAGGCTGAAAAGAATGAGCAGGCAAAGTCATTGTTGAGAAAATGTGTTGAAATCCTTGGAAACTTGGAACAAGCAAATATTCAGGAAACCTGATCAGGATTCTGGAACTGTTCAAGACTATTGTTGGAAGGAAAACTTCCCAGAGTAAGTAGAAATGAAAGCATACACTGAAGAAAGGGCAAAAATGTATGCAGCAGTCTGTATACAGAGGAGAGCCACACTGTAGAATGCTGTATTATTAACCCATCCTTTCAAGTATCTTAGGTTTCAGTGTCTTGCTTTTGCACAACTCATTGAAAGAAAAGAAACATTGCCAAAATAATAATAATAATAATAATAATAATAATAATCAAATGAAAAGAGGCTTAGGTTAGTGAGGTGCATGCTTATTATTCAATTTTCCTCTTTCAATATTCATCACATGGATTATGATTTTCCTTGAATTTGTTTTTTGGTTGGTTGATGATCTGAAAGCTTGGAATATGCAGGAGATATTTTTTCGACTGTTGATCTACATTATGATGTGTCACATTGTTACCCCCTAAAATCCTAATGGCCACTCCTGGCAGTAGAAATAGTGATGAAGGTGTGCCACCTACTTTTATAGGAAAAGGATTTGTTGATGACCCTCTTTCTCCGCTCAATTTTTCCCTGTAAAAAGGGCTATTGTAAGAATGTTCTTTAAAATGTAATGCACCTAAATTAGACAATTAGCAAAAAATGAGGGATTAATTCCTACACAATGAGCTTAACCTTCTTTAGAAGCACATCAAGGACTCTAGTTAAGGTAAACAAGTACAAAGAAAAATTAATTAAAGTATTGGTAATGAAATAAGTCAAGGACAAATGTTTTAAATTAACTAAATAAAGTATAGAAAATATAGTGAAATAGAATCTAAAAGTATAAGCAGAAAACGTAAATCTAACAGAAAATTTAGAAAATGCAATTGAAAGGTAGAAGATTTAAAATTTGATTGAAATTGCAAATATATTTAAATTAAAATCAAAATTAAATGTTTAATAATTGAGAAACTTAATAAAAGTGAATCATAATAATAAAAAAAATCACAAAAACTAATTTTACCAGAAAGCTAAATCAACAAAAACAAAAATCTGCTAAGGGCATTGACCTATTTCTATTGGGTTAAAATCTTGAAGAAAGGGTATTGAAAAAATAGTTTAAAACTAAGAACTCACTGGACATTGGGCTAAAATCTTGAAGAAAAAATGCTGAAAAAAAAGGGCGTAAAATTAAAAGGTAGCTGAGTTAGACTAAATTAAAAAATACTTAAAAAACAAAGAGTTTTGGTTAAAATAAATTGTATGTATTAAAAAGCAAGCATGTATAACTAAATAATATCTTTAAAAACTCAAATTTATAAACCTCTATAATTGCTCTCATTGAATAAAAAATCAGATCTGAGCTATCGCTCCATCAACATTGAAATACAACCTCAATTTTCTCTGTACACGGCTATTAGTTAGCCAAAAATGGCAAAAATGCAGCTAAAATCCAGTAAGAACCCACTAGATGGAATCCATAAAAATTAGCCCCACCTTTGTCCATTTGAGCAAGTCAATCTCCTTTGAAATTAATGATCAAAGATAAAAAATTGATTTTTAATAGAATATTAACTAATGAAATTTAAATAAATAAAGTCTAAAAATATTTAGATTATACTCTCTTTTGGCCAATAAAAACAATCTATATTAGTTGATAATAACATAAAATGAATTCTATTATACTAAATTACAACCAAATAATTTATAATAAATTATAAAAAATTAATAACCACTGAATTTTTATAAAGACCATGACATTATCTTAAAAATTATAATTGTGATGTAAACATTATCCAAAAACTTGACCTTAATTAATTAATTAAAGGAAAGTGTTTTATTTTATTTCTGTCACCGAAATGCTCCACATTGGCTGCCACGTGACCATCCTTCTGACAAAGCATCCTCCAACTCTCTTTCCATTTTTTCTCACCCTTTCTTCCTCGACAAAAAGCCCCCAATTTAAACCCATCATCTTTCATCAGAACCTCATCCGTCAATCAAACCCATCATCTTTCATCAGAACCTCATTTGTGTTGAGTGAGAAAATCCCATATCGAGTCTAAAATAAAGAAGTACATGAGTTAAATATAAGGAATGCTACTCTACCTATAGCCAATTGGTTTTAGGTTGGACGCAGTCTTGTGTTGAGCCTACATGTACCATTTTAACATATTATTAGAGCCTAGATTCTATCATGAGAAGCTTATTGTTAGCCCAACTGACAAGATCAAGACCCGAAGTTAAAGTTGATACCAAACCTGCATGTAAGGGGACGTGTTAAGTCAAGTGACAGAACCCACCATTTATAGCGGGCCTGCACGTGAGAGGTCGACAAAGAAGCATGTGGGTTCAATATAAGTAGGATTATTTCACCTATTGCCAATTGGTTTTAGGTTGGATCACATGCACAATTTTTGCACGAAAATTGTGCATGTGTGCTCAACACAAGACTTGCATCCAACCTAAAACCAATTGGTAATAGGTAGAGTGACATTCCTTATATTTAACCTACAAGTTTCTTACTTTTATACTCGATGTAGGATTTTCCCACTCAACATGCTCCATCACGTGTAAGCTCGCTTTGAAGGTCGAGTCCTGTCACATGGTTTAACATGTCCCTTAAATGCAGGCCAAGTATCAACTTCGGATACCGTCAAGTGGGCTAACAATGAGTTTCTTAGGGTAAAACTTGCGTTTTGATACCATATGAAAATCGTGCATGTGGGCTCATTACAGGGCTTGCATCCAACTTAAAACTAATTGGCTATAAGTGGAGTGGCCTTACTTGTATTTAACCCACAAGCTTCTTATTTTTATACTCGATGTGGGATTTTCCCACTTAAGAATCCGAGCCTCCAGTCACACGCCATATCGCCACACATTTTCCGTCATCCATGGCTTCTCCACCTCCAAAGGGTCTCGAGCGGTCTTCTTTCCTCAGAACTGAAGCAATTCTGTCTTACTTGACCCTTGTGGATGAACAATCTAAAAAGGAGACAGAAATAGAAACAGTTGCGGTTGAAAGAGAAAAAGTTGCAGCCAAGAAACCATCAACCAATAGGAAAAGTACCGGCAAAAGGAAAGCAACCTCTCATGCAGCTTCAATAGTAATAGCGAGATCAAAAGGTAATTTTCTTCTTCTATCTGCATTTAAATTTTTGTTTATATAGTTTTTTAAATGGTGCATTTCTTGTTTGTATAGGGCAAGTTTCTGCCAAGCCAAAAGCTACCAAGAGGTTATCAATCTCCATTCCCTCGACCTCCATGAGAGAAGCAAAAACTTCTGAATCTAAGGGATCTGATGACTCTCCTATGTTTCTAAGGGAAGAAAAAGGAAAAAAAGAAAGGAACATATTCCTCTTCTTCACATGCAGATCCTTCTTCGCAAAGGGTTAAGGGAAAAAGATTTTCAATGCGTTTGGCTAAAAAGAATTTCAAAACAGTGGGTGCTAATGAAATAGTTGATCTTAGATAGACTTCTCCTGGAGATTCAAACACATTTTTTGAGGCTAAATCCTCTAGAGTTGACAAGGTATATCTTCCTTTTTGGCTCTTGGTCTTCAAAATTTGATTGGGTTTTCTAGATTTTGATCGAATTTGACTAACTTTGACCGGGTCTTATTACAAACTAGATTTATGTCATGATTCGAACTGATTTTGTAACCAATTTTGGTTCAATTGATCGGACCAACCGATTTGATTCGGGTTTTAAAACAGTGCTACACAATGAGCTTAAACTTCTTTAGAAGCACATCAAGGACTCCAATTAAGGTAAACAAGTACAAAGAAAAATTAATTAAAGTATTGGTAATGAAATAAGTTAAGGACAAATGTTATAAATTAACTAAATAAAGTATAGGAAACATAGTTAAATAGAATCTAAAAGTATAAGCAAAAAACGTAAATCTAACAAAAATTTAGAAAATGCAATAAAAAAGTAGAAGATTTAAAATTTGATTGAAATTACAGATATATTTAAATTAAAATCAAATTAAATGTTTAATAATTGAGAAATTTAATAGAAGCAAATGATAATAATAAAAAAATCACAAAAACTAATTTTACCAAAAAACTAAACAACTAAAACAAAAATCTGCTAAGGGCATTGATCTATTTCTATTGGGTTAAAATCTTGTAGAAAGGATATTGAAAAAACAATCTAAAACTAAGAAATCAATGGGCATTGGGCTAAAATCTTGAAGAAAAAATGCTGAAAAAAAAGGACCTAAAATTAAGAGATAACTAGGTTAGACAAAATTAAAAAATACTTAAAAAACAAAGAGTTTTGAAAAGTAAATTGTATGTATTAAAAAATAAGCCTATATGACTAAATAATATCTTTAAAAACTCAAATTTATAAACCTCTATAATTGTTCTCATTTAATAAAAAATCAGATCTGAACTATTGCTCCATCAACATTGAAATACAACCCCAATTTTCTCTATACACTGTCGGCTATTGCTTAGCCAAAAACAGCAAAAATGTAGCTAAAATCCAATAAGAATCCACTAGATAGAATCCATAAAAATTAGCCTCACCTTTGTCCATCTAAGCAAGTTAATCTCCTTTGAAATTAATGATCAAAGGATAAAAAATTGATTTTTAATAGAATATTAACTAATGAAATTTAAATAAATAAAGTCTAAAAATATTTAGATTATACTCTATTTTAACCAATAAAGATAATCTATAGTAGTCAATAATAACATAAAATGAATTCTATTATACTAAATTACAACCAAATAATTTAGACTAAATTATAAAAAATTAATAACCACTCAATTTTTATAAAGACCGTCACAATATTTTAAAATTACAATTGTGGTATAAACATTATCCAAAAACTTGACCTTAATTAATTAATTAAAGGAAAGTGTTTTATTTTATTTTTGTCACCAAAATGCTCCACATTGGCTACCACGTGACCATCCTTTTGACAAAGCATCCTCCAACTCTCTTTCCATTTTGTCTCACCCTTTCTTCCTCGGCAGAAAGCCCCCAATTCAAACCCATCATCTTTCATCAAAACCTCATCGTGTTGAGTGGGAAAATCCACATCGAGTCTAAAACAAAAAAAGTATGTGGGTTAAATATAAAGAGAGTTATTCCACCTATAGCCAATTGGATTTAGGTTGGATGTAGTGTTGTGTTGAGCTTACATGAACAATTTTAACATGGTATCAAAGCCCATATTCTATCTTGGGAAGCCCATTGTTAGCCCACCTACTAGGACTCAAAGTTAAAATTAATACCAAACCTGCATGTAGGGGGGCATGTTAAGTTATGTGACAGAACTCGCCATTCATAGCAGGCTTGCACGTGAGGGGGCGATAAAGAAGTATGTGGATTAAATATAAGGAGGATTACTCCACCTATAACCAATTGGTTTTAGGTTGGATGCAGTCTTATGTTGAGCCCACATGCTAACAATGGGCTTTTATAATTTATTAACTCACGTGACAGGTGGAGTAGCCCTCCTCATATTTATGTGAGTTAACAGTCCTTTTAAATGCAGACTTGGTATCTTCAATTTTGGGTCCTGTTAGGTGGGCTAACAACGGGCTTTCCAAAATAGAATTTGGGCTTTGATACCATGTGAAAATTGTGCATGAATTGTGCATATGAGCTCAACACAAGATTTGCATCCAACCTAAAACCAATTGGCAATATGTGAAGTGGCTTTCCTTGTATTTAACCCACGAACTTCTTATTTTTATACTCGATGTGGGATTTTCCCACTTAACACGCTCGCTATGAATGTCAAGTCTTGTCACGTGGGTTAATACACCCCCCTAAATATAGCTTCGGTACCTTCAACTTCGGGTCTTGTCAGGTGGATTAACAATAGGCTTCCCCATGACAGAATCTGGGCTCTGATAGCATGTGAAAATTGTGCATATGGGCTCAACACAAGACTACATCCAACCTAAAACCAATTGGTTATAGGTGGAGTAGCCTATCAACTTTAATTTGGGGTCCTGTCAAGTGGGTTAACAATGGGCTTCCTAGGATAGAATTTGGGTTTTGATACCATGTAAAAATTGTGCATGTGGACTCAACACAAGGCTTGCATCCAACCTAACACCAAGTGGCAATAGGTTAAGTGGTCTTCCTTGTATTTAACCCACAAGTTTCTTACTTGTATACTCAATGTCTAATTTTCCCACTTAGCATGCCCCCTCACGTGTAACTGTGTAAGCCCGCTTTGAATGTTGGGTCTTGTCAAGTGGTTTAACATGCCCTTTTAAATGTAAGCCCGATATCAACTTCAAGTCCTATCAGGTGGGCTAACAATGAGCTTCTCAAGGCAGACTTTGCGTTCTGATATCATGTGAAAATCGTGCATGTGGGCTTAATACAGGGCTTGCATCCAACCTAAAACCAATTGACTATAGGTGGAGTGGCCTTCCTTGTATTTAATCCACAAGCTTCTTATTTTTATACTTGATGTAGGATTTTCCACTTAACAATCCAAGCCTCCAGTTGCATGCCATATTGCTACACATTCTTCGTTGTCCATGGCTTCTCCACCTCCAAAGGGTCTCAAGCGGTCTTCTTTCCTCAGAACTAAAGAAATTCTATCTTACTTGACCCCTGTGGATGAACAATTTGAAGAGGAGATAGAAATAGAAACAATTGCAATTGAAAGAGAAAAAGTTGCAGCCAAGAAACCACCATCCAGTAGGAAAAGTACCATCAAAAGGAAAGCAACCTCTCTTGCAGCTTCAACAGTAACAACGAGATCAAAAGGTAGCTTTCTTCTTCTATCTACATTTAAATTTCTGTTTATAGAGTTTTTTAAATGTTTCATTTCTTGTTTGTACATGGCAAATTTCTGCCAAGTCAAAAGCTACCAAGAGGTTATCAATCTTCATTCCCTCGGCCTCCATGAGAGAAGCAGAAACTTCCAAATCTGAGGGATCTGATGACTCTCTTGTGTTTCTAAGGGAATAAAAAGGAAAAAAAAGAAAGGAACAGATTCCTCTTCTTCACATGCAGATCTTTCTCCGTAAAGGGTTAAGATCCTTCTCCGTAAAGGGTTAAGGGAAAAAGATTCTCAATGCGTTTGGCTAAAAAGAATTTCAAAACAGTGGACGCTAATGAAATAGTTGATCTTAAACAAACTTCTCCTGGAGATTCAAGCACATTTGTTGAGGCTAAATCTTCTACAGTTGACAAGGTATATCTTCCTCTCTGGCTCCTGCTCTTCTATCTCAATCTTTTTAATCAGCAAAATTCATTTTGTAGGTGATTGAGTCCACTGTAGAGGATATTAATGACCTTGAACGAGATGTATTTGGAAGGATGAACTTGTTTTCTAGCTTTTTGGTCAAGAAGGGGAAAATGCATTTGAAGAAGAAACAGTGGCTTTGCCTCCAACTGTAGAAGAAATCCAAGTGGCCACTTTAGTACGTTGATAGAAGGGAACCCGATGGCTTCCTACCAAGATGTTGAGATCAAAGAAATTTTGATTTCTGCCAGCATATTAGCCAGAAATCTTGAGAAGGCCACCAAAGCTACTATTGCTGCAAAAAAAAGGCTTGGGGGACATCTTTCCACCTCTTTGAAAACAAAAGGAAGAATATGAGAAAGTCAAGGAAGAAATTAACACGCAACATGAGGAACACCAAAAACTTGAGGAAGAATTGGCATAGCTGGAAGTTCAAATGTCAGAGCTTAAAACCCGGATTTCTAGCAAGCAAAAGGCATTGGCAGACATGAACACTAGGAGGAAGCAACTTCTTGATGGACTTCACAGCCAACTGAAGAAATTGGAGCCAAAAAGAGTAGTGGCTGAAGCTCTTGCGAAGAAAAATCAAGGAATTACCAAGGAACTCACTGCCATGCAACTTGAATGGAAAGAATGGAGAGACTTCCTTTAGCTTAGCCTTCTAAAAACAGCTTTTATTTTATGTTTGTGGCCATATGCCAAGCATAATAGTTATTTTATGATGTTTGAACTTTATTTTGGATACTTGTTGAATCGATGGATGACTCCATGTCATCCTTTTGCTTTTCTACTTGTTTGTTCAGGTTTTTGCCTGCAAGTTGGTGGCTTGATTCAAAGCCAACACTTTGAATTTCTGTTTGCGTTAATTTCTGGAGCAAAGACTATGTTTGAGCAAAAATGTGGCCAAAATAAGCCATCTACAGCTTATTAGGCCACTTGATGATTTTATTATTTTTTACACTTATTGAAAACCACTAATTTTCATGTTTCCCTCACTTCTTCAATGAATATCAGGGACAAACCCGGGGGTACAACGGGGGCACTCCCCCCTAGACTTTTGAAAAAAAATTAAATAGGTCCTATACTTTTTTTAAAAATTAAATAAACCATTTTTGAAAAAAATAAAATTCGTGTGTTATAACTTTTTTTTTTTTTATAGATTTTATAATAAATTACTAACCACTTGACACGTAAAATAAATTTAATAAAATATTTTTATTTATTTAATATGTTTGTCATTGCAATATATGCATAGTTAGTGATTATTTGTATAAAATAATAAAATAAAATTGACTTGAAATTGATATTGTCAATTCTTTTAGAACATTTAGTTTTCTTATCTTGATCATATCAAGTAATATTTTACAATAGAAGTTGTGTTTCATATTGAAATTTAAATACACATAAATTTTAACAAGTTTTTTTACATTTAAGGTCTTTAAAATTTCAGTTTTTGTCTATTTAAATCTTAATTTTATTTATAAATTACAAATCAAGAAATTCATTTTTAGCATACACATTTCAAATAACACCTCACCCCCGTAAGATTATTTTCTGGCTTCGTCCCTAATGACTATTACACTGTCTTGTATGTAAAATCTGATGATATTGAAGATGTTTCTGTTCCACTCGACAAGGTGATGAATTGCATAACATCTTGTGTCCACGTGGCTCATGTCAATGATGTTCTTGAGCATAAAAAGAACTTGATGCACGTCTTGTTACTTTGCTTGTCACCTGGTTTAACATGGACGGGTATATTCTTCATTCCTATGCATATATTTTTTCCCTCTGTTCTAGCTTCGTAAACTTAACAGCTTTACCAATTAAACTATAATTTACAGTCAAAGTGTCGGCATTTCCCTCAATCAAAGAACTCTGCTTAAGGCTCCACAGCATTTTGGAGGACTCCAATGAAGCCATTCTACAGGCCAGTGCAACTTCTTTTGTTCAAGAGGTAACTGGACTGGACTGCTAAATGCATATTTATTCAACAGAAGTAGCTGTTTCTAATCTGATTAATTCTTTTTGCTATTCCAGCTACTCACCGGTGTGGCACCCAAAATAATTGAGTGTGTAATTACAATAAAAATTGCTCAGGTACATAGTTTCTCTCTATGTTTTGGTTATGTATCCATGTTACATTAACTTGCTTAAAAGTCCGTTTTAGGTACAGTCGCTACCTGTATGGGTTGCATCCATGTATGTGCAAATGCTTTCATGTGAAAGCATCATAAATTTTTAATAATGTTGTCAATATGAAAAAATTAATTTCTATAATTGGCATAGGTTTTTTGCTCTAACTTAATATAGAGAAGATTAGTTTTGCTGCATCAAATTCGAGTACTGGACAACAAAAGAACGATTAGTCTGCCGCAGAATATCCTTTTGGGTTTTATTTCTCAACACAATTTTCTGTCCATCACACTGTGTCCAATCCTAGGTTCATGTTGCTGCATCAAAGTGCCTTCTGGAAATCACTAAGTTATGCAAACATATTTCATCAGTCCACTGGACAGAAACAGGAATAAAAGGCGAGCTTCTAAATCAGATTGAGGCAGAAAAGAATGAGCAGGCAAAGTCATTGTTGAGAAAATGTGTTGAAATCCTTGAAAACTTGGAACAAGCAAATATTCAGGAAACCTGAACAGGATTCTGGAACTGTTCAAGACTACTGTTGTAAGGAAAACTTCACGGAGTAACTAGAAATGAAAGCATACGCTGAAGAAAGGGCAAAAATGTATGCAGCAGTCTTATACAGAGGAGAGCCACACTGTAGAATGCTGTTTTATTAACCCATCCTCTCAAGTATCTTAGGTTCCAGTGTCTTGCTCTTGTACAACTCATTGAAAGAAAAGAAACATTGCCAAAATAATTATCAAAAGAAAAGAGGCTTAGGTTAGTAAGGTGCATGTTTGTTATTCAAATTTCCTCTTTCAATATTTATCACATGGATTATGATTTTCCATGAATTTGATTTTTGGTTGGTTTATGATTTGAAAGCTGGGAATGTGCAGGAGAGATTTTTTCAGCTGTTGATCCACATTATAATGAATTAAACCCCTCTTTGTAAAAATCATGTTATTAAGTAAAACGTAGTTACCAATTTACCCTTTCTTTTGTTAGAACGTTAGAGAGGTAGGATCAAGACCCCGAATGGCAGTTCCGTCAGAAAATAATTGTTTACGCCGCTCAAATAAAAAATTAAAGGGGCCAGACAAGGATGACTAATAGTAAAACAAAATCCAAAGGTAACGAACAAAAGAAATATTGCGAAAAGAAAATTACTAGAAAAAATAGACATGGACGAGCAAGAGTTTCGCCGGATCCTGGAACACTTCCCCGTCGTTCGATCTCGCCACTATCGCGTACTTCTCTCTCTGTCATCTATTTATGCCTCTTCTTCGCTTTCTTTCGTTTCCACTTCCATTTTTTTCGATTTGAATCGCTCTTTTGTCTGTCTGTTCTTGTTTTTTGGATATATGAATTTCTTCTCCAGGTTCCGTTGCTATTGATTCGTCTCTTTGCAGTTCCAATTTATATAATTTTTTTTTTTTTGTGAATTTATTCTATTTTCTTTGAGATTGTAGTGACTATGCAAAGCTAATGTGTAGTTTTTGTGTTTGGTTGGAGGATCCATGCTGTGTAATGTTAGGGTTCATTTTATTTTGGTTTTTATTGTGTATGGTGATTGATTTCTCTTTCTGTTTATTACCTGTTTTTATTTGGTAATTAAATACCTAGGCTCTGTACTTCTAGTATTGCTTTGTGAGAGATGGCTCTAGGATTTTATGATGATTTGAGCTCAACTTCTGTGTCTAAGTTGTTAATTGTGATTAGTATATACTTGTTTCGAAGTGATTGATGGAGGCTGTCTGCTAATTTATTGGTGAATTTTCACTGCAAATAGAATTAGGGTTTGATGAGGAAGGTCTTCAGGCCCACTAGCCAAATCTCTAATGTAAAATGCTTCCTCACCCGTTGGTGAGGGTTTGAACTTGTGTACCCCTTCTCCCTATCCCTTTTCCCCATAGGTTGAACTGCTTGTCGTGTCCTATAAAAAAAAAATTGAATTTAGGGTTTGATTGCTAGGAGCAGCCACTTTATGTAAAATTGTTGTGGACTGCTTTCAAATGTAGTGGCTATATTGTGATTCGCTCGCACTCATGAATAGTTTAAGATTTGGCTGTTATCAGTGTGGTTGTTGTTGTGAAATAACCTTTTTATTATTTCAGGCCGAGTCAGATTCATCGAGACAGTCAACATCTCGGTCAACACAGAATAAGGCGGTATATACTGAAACTGGACTATTTTTTTTTCCTTTTTTTGACTTAAATTTGTAATATACTTTTGAATTCTATCTATTAATAACTAGTTTGTAACATTCTGACATTTGCACAACAGATTAGGGATTGGCAAGATGCTTGGAATGACAGAGAGAGAAAGGAAATGAACAATCAAGATATTGATCTGCATGGTATCTATCACACATGAATGTGCCCTGATAAGAAATTTCTCTATTTAGTAAAGTGTGCACTCATACTAATAAGAATGTCAGATAAAACTGGTGGTTCCGAGCATATTTTCTGTTAAAAATAGTGGCTCTGGATGGAATTCTTATTTGTCATCCTTTGCTCCATTTTTATGGTCAATAGGGGAATGAATCACTTCTTTTTGTGCTTGTCATTACCATAAAGTTTTAGTTATTGTCTTTTTTCCCATATTGGTTTTGACAGATGCATTCTGGGAGAAGCTAAGAGTGGCAGCTGAGAGGAAGGTATGTTTAATGATTTACTAACTTAAAATAACTTATGAGTTGAGAACATTCTAACCAGTACCACATACTTCTGGGCATAAAAGTTGCACAAGCACATGGCATTGTTTGCCAAAGGTGTGAAAATAGCATTATTCTTGATTTGTCTTCTTTAATATGATTCATAAGAATATAGTTCAGAAGGTTGAACGCGTGTCTTGATGGTCCCAAGTTTAACAAAGAAAGAACCATGGAAGGTCACAGATGAACTTTTTTGGAAATAGGTTATGACTCAACATGGTATATTACAGGAGATATTGATTCATTGGATTTGAAACTTGAATAGATTATGTAGACCTGCTTTCTAGTTAGGGAAACTAAATGGCATGTACGAAATTATCTTCCAAGAAGTAAAATGAAAAGCAAAAGTATGTAAGCAAATCTTCAAATACCAAGTGTGCTTAATCATTTTTGCTGCAGAATTTATTAGCTAGCATATTACTTCCACTAATTTTTGCTCTAGGTCTTAAGGAACAAAAATGTGCATTTAGAATAAAAACTTATTTTGTCGTTAGGTGGTTACACTTCTGGAAAAACTAACAATTTGCAAGGATTCGGTGTTTAATGAGCATTTTCAAATAAAATGTTATTTTTTGGTCAGCTGACTCTGCCCTCAGATTTATTCTTCAAATTAGGATGGAAAGCATTGCCATGAATTTTATTTACTTGCTAGTTGGTTTGTGAAGCATGGCTTTCAATGGACTCTGTTAACTAATATTCCTTGCCTTTACTATCATATAGGTTGGTGCAGCAGAAGTTGATAGGTTGTGCAAGTCTTTTCAACAAGTTCACAAGAAGCTGGTATGCAAAAGAGAGTTTTTGACATTTCCTACCAATTTCCCATTTCTGATATTGATAGAAATGAAATTGCTACGTTTCAATTCTTTTCAGGTGTATGAGGGATTGAGCTTTGATGTTTGTAAAAAAGTTCCCAGCTTCATCACCAAGTGTAAGAGAATAATCCTCCACCTATAATGTTAATTGTACACTTGTTACTGTTTTTTTTTAAGATAATGGAATTGATGGGAGTAAGAAATTCTTGTTGGCCTAGAACTGGTTTCAAGTAGGTTTTCTCTTTCAAAATAACGTATAAGATTCTGAAATTAAATCGCATATATGTGAATTAAAGGTTAATATTTTTTTTTCTTACGAACCCCAAGTTGTATGATAAATCTTTTAGTTCTATTTTGTTTAAAACAGAAGAAAATCACAATTAAATGAAATTTATCTCCGACTGTATCCTCTTTCTTTTGACCGGAATCATCAGCGATTATGCTCGAAGGAAAAGTGGAAGAATTACAAAAAAGAAGATTGAATTTAGTAGGTAAAGGGAGGGATCCAAAAATAGAAACCATAATTGTCAAATTTTCAAATTTACAAGGTCTAGTTGGGAACAATGAGCAATGAATTTGTAAATCAATACTGGACATAAAACCCTAACCTAAAACAAAGGTTTTTTTTTTTTTTTTTGGTATCAATGTTCGAAATCAAGTGAGGTCAGACCCTATAAAGAGGAAAAGTTCTTATAGCACTTGTTTTCTTCATTCATTCATAAAACTCGAATTCGAGACCTTATTTAAGGAAAACTGACTTCTTTTCACTTTGATTAACAGGTTGTTAGTCTAACAAAGATTATCTGATTTTGTTTCTTTAAAAATCCTCTAGTGGCTTCACATGTGCAGAATTTAGATGTGGGCGTGTTACTTACTTTGCTAAAAGTAAGAAAAAAAAGATTTTCCTAACGACCCTCTCCTTCTTCACGGTCAACCTCCTTGTGGATGGTGAAAAGAACATTAATTTAAAATTAAAATCTACGTCTACATATGATTTGCAAGAGAGAGAGATGCCTTCCTGCAAAATGGTTACTAAATCTACCTTGGACAACTCCAAAAACTTAAAACACTATCGTAACTCTAAGTTAATAGATCCTAATTGAACTAAATAGCATGTAAATTAAAGTAAACTTGCAAGAAAAAGATGTGTCCAAATTAAATTAAACATGTTCATTGTCAGATTAAATTGCTACTTACAAATAAATCTAAAAATTAAAATATTGTAGAATTTGAGATTAAACCCTAAATAACACTAAACCTAATACGAACAAGGGTTAAATTAACATGCTTGAAACCAAAAAGAAGCGTGAACGTCATATAAATAATTGCTTGATGAAATGTTATCATAAATATAAATTTAACAATAGTCAGAAAAGGAATGGAACCTCGCAGAAATCAAAGTTTGATGTTCATTACAATGAAATTTCTGAAATATGTACTCAAACTAATTTGACTAGTGGAATGATAAAAAAACAACTTAAATCTATTGAAAATTGTGTTGAAATTCGAAATTTGGAAATTAAAGTGAGCAATTGCAAAGAAAATGAAAGTTTGAAAATTCTCGGGTTGTGTGTTGGGCTGGTCGTGTGTTGAATGATTGAAAATTTCTCTTTTGTTCTCCTCCTTTTCAGTTGCAACTCCACACTTTTTGTAGTTACCAAAATTGTGGGTAGTTTCTTGAAGTAGTGAAACTGTTTAGCAGTTGACATGGTCAAATTCCTTTTCAAATTTCACCATTTGTGCCCTTATATGATAACTCACCCACAATTGAAACCTTCTCCTAAATTTCAGTTAAAACAAATCATCTTTGACTTAAAAAAGTAATTAAAAGATAAAATCTTATTTTTTATCTCTTTTTTTTTTCAATATAGCAGTTAATCTGTCATAGGATTCAAAATGACAAATCTGACATGGTTGAATCACCTCTATCTATTTAAAAAATTTTGATACGTGGCATGATATTAAATTTTTATAATTTATGGTGTAAACAGGTTTATACTTTGTTGCATCAAATTCAAAATAGAAAACCCAAAATTGTCTCAATAAACAACCGCATACCTTGAAAAACGGAATTTGAAAAGTGATTGGAAGGCAAACAAAATCTTACATTGAATTCGGAAGCACCAAAAAAAAGTGAAAACTCAAGACATAATATCATTAAAATTACTGAGATATCCAATTATAATCATTATTTAAGCAGATTCTACTTAAATGATGGTTGCGATTAGACATTCTAACAATTTTAATATCAAAACGAAATGATTTTTTACCAACTCAATTGTTATTATTAATAAATTAAAATATCTAATCTTTTCAACTAGAGCGAATAATTGATAATTATTTGTAATTCTCCAAACCAAACACCTCTAAAATATTTTTGAAGGCCGTGTTGAAGCTCTGGGCCAGCTCGTGAAACGTGGTGTCTAATTAATTTAGGCTTTTTTCAGCCCATAATACCCTAGAGCCCATTTTTAAGGGACCGTCTAAATTAACCCAAAATAGCAGCGAACCGTCGACCCACTCTGCAGAACCGACCCATGTCCGTTTTCTTGTGCACTTGGCCATTCTGCAAGCAAGATGATCATGGCGGAAAGGTGGAGGTATAAAATCTGAAATCTCGCACTCTCCTTGCCTTTTCTTCCAAGTCTTGTTTAGTCTTTCTGAGGAAGATGGCGGAATCATCGGCGGCGGCGGCGGCGGCGGCAGCACCAAGGTCGGATGCGGAGACGGAGGAGTTGCTGGATCGAATGCTCACTCGGTTGGCGCTTGATACAGATAAAATGAAAGATAGGTGAGAAAAATAAACTCTCGATAAATTCCTCTAGAGAAAATACAAGGGAAATCTATTAGAAAATAAAAGAAAGATTTCTGATATATTCCTCAATATAAAGGTCTGAAATCAGAAAATTACAGATAGTCTTCCAAAAGGGTTACAGAGAATAGTAGAGGATGAAGAAGAAGATAAATAATTTCTGAGCTACTCTAAAAATGAAACACAGAGCTGCTAAATAACCTAACCCTATTCAAACGACCTCAGAGATATAACATAAAACGACAACACATAATTAATCCCACTTGGCAGCCATATCATCATCTAGGTCCCACATGCCTTATTTATTTAGTTAAAACTCGTTTTAGTTTCTGAACTATTGTATGGACTTTCGATTTGATCTCTAAATTAAAAAAATCATTGATTTAATCCCTACTGTTTCTAATTTTTACCTCGAGTTGGTCATTTTGTTAAAAATCCCAGGATGTGTACCGTTAATTTACAATAAAATGATGACATGTCAAAATATTATCCTACATGGAAGACAACATGGAAAAAAATAGTAACATGGAAAAATATAATAATATAACAAAAAACTTAAAAAATTCTTTCTTTTCCTTTTTTTTTTTTTCTTCTTTTTCCTTTTTCTTTCCCCTTAGTATCTGGAACCTAGAGCTGGGTTTGATCGAATCTAACGCCTGGGTTCCTTGGAACTCGACGCTAGGTTCATCGAACCTAGGCTTTGGGATACTTGGAACTAGGTGCCTGAATTCGATCGAAGCGGGGCTTGGGGTTCCTTCGAACCCAGGCTCTAGATTCCTTAGAACTCGGCTTTGGGTTCTGATGAACCCAGGCCCTGGGTTCCTTGGAACTCGACGTTGGGTTCGATCAGGCCCTTGGAACCCAGGCTTTGGGTTCCTTGGAACCTGATGAACCTAGCGCCAAGTTCGTCGAACATAGGCACTGCGTTCTTTGGCAAAAAATTAAAAAAAAAAAATTTTTGTGTTTTTGTGGGTGTTGTTTGATGAGGGTGTTGTTTGATGATGATGATGATGATGAACTGATTGATGAAGAAGAAGAATTGATTGATGAAGAAAGCCAACAAAGGGAGAGGAAAGAGAAAGGGAAAGATGAAAGAGAAAGAATTTTTAAAATTTTTATTGCCAAATCACTATTTTTTTACTAGCTGGCTTTCCATATGGACATAATGTTTTGACGTGTACATTAGTCAATGGACACGTGGGTAGATTTTTAACGGAAGGGTCAAATTGGGGTAAAAATGATAAATAGTAAGGATCAAATTAGGAATTTTTTGAGTTTAAGGACCAAATCGGGGGTCCATACAATAGTTCAGGGACCAAAATGGGGTTTTAACCTATTTATTTACCACAGATCAGCGCTCTGCGACGATTCCAAACTCGAAGCCTTGCTCTCGAAGCTCCTCCCTCTCACCATCTCCTCACTCTCCTCTCAGTCTCTAGCCGTCCGCAACAAGGTGCGGAAGAAATTTTTTATCTGTTCTTATCAGTTCAAATTAGGAAGATAGTTGAATTTCGTGTTTCCGTTGGAAATTATCTGTAGACTGTTCTCTTGCATTTTAATGCTTATGAAGCTTTTGTTTCTCGACCTTTTCTCTTTAGAAACAGGAATTGATTACCTTATTGCAGGATAAAATGGAGGTGTAAACATTGTATTTTGATTGATTAGATTCTCAGTTCACTGATTTCTTTCTGCCTTGTTATTGTTAGGTTCTTGAGATCTTGAGTCATGTGAACAAGAGAGTGAAACATCAGCCTGAGATTGGTTTGCCATTGATGGACTTATGGAAAATGTATAGTGAATTGAATGCATCTCCAATGGTTAAGAATTTCAGCATCATATATATTGAGATGGCATTTGAATGGATAAATTTAAAGGTATATTCATCATTATCTTTTTTCCTCTTTTAATTAGTGTATTTTGTTTAAGTTTTGTATTACAGCTTGCTACTTGGAGTATTTGGAATTAATCTCAGGTTCTCTTTGTAGGAGAAAGAAAATATGGCACCTATGCTTTTGGCAAACATTTCAAAGCTTCCTCAGCAGCACCAAGAGATCATCATGAGGATAGCTGTAAAGGTATATTTCAAAATATTTCCTCTCTCCTTTCTTTATTCTTCATATCTTGCATTGGATATTTTCATTTAGTCTCTTGCTCTCTTTAAGCACCACTGGATAAGCTTTTTGATGTTTTCTAATTCTAGATATAGTTTTTAGTTTGTTACCAACATATTTACAGCCTTCTTTAGGTTTGTTTTCCATTTATATTTTAAGTTTTGGGACATGCCTATTGATGTTTGTGATATTCTGTTGGAACAAGGTTATTGGTGAATGTCATGCAAGTTGCATTGATGAGGAGGTTGCTGCAAAGTATAGAGTATTGAATGATCCTCAGGAGAGGGAGATATTTCTTGAATTTTGTCTTCATGTGATTTTGTATCAACCCCCATCTCAAGGGTTTGTAACACATTTGAACTACTATTATCATAAAATTTCCCTTTTTCATTTCAATAGTTTTAATGCTTTCTATGGAGGGGAGGATGCCCACCCGGCCTTTCACTTGCTCAGGCCAACCGTGTTATGGGGAAGCTTCAATTGAAAGGTGACCTGCTAATGATAAGAAAGGTGAGTTGAGGGTTTTATTTATTATTGATTATTATTATTTTAAATGCTGTTTGAGACTGATAGATGGACTGTATTCTTATAAGTTTGGAGATCATCTGTAAAAATGTCAGTGGGTTGAGCATTTGAATTGACTTTTATCCTTTGCTTTCCTTTGGTTTCCTGTTGGCAGTTGGGGATCTTGAATGTCATTGAGACTATGGAACTTGCTCTGGAACTCGTTTATCCTTTATACCTGGCTGCTTGTGCAGGTAGGCATTTTTGATATTTTGTTGTAGAAGTTAAATCTCTGGTTATACTTCTCTTTCTGTCTTTGCCTATGATAATAATTTTGGTGGTTGACTTTTTCAAGTCAAGAACCTGTTGTCAAAAGAGGGGAGGAGCTTCTAAAGAGGCAGGCTTCTACTACTAACTTAGATTATCCAAGGTTGATAAACAAACTATTTTTTACTGTTTAATGGTATGAGTTCCTTTTCTTTTCTATTGTTCTTTTTCATCAAACAAATCACATTCATACACTCCCATTTACGTATGTTTGTGTGTTCATGTGCATACATACATCTGTCAGTACATGTGCATGCATTTTTGTCAGTGTGCAGATGCTGATATATATGAAACACTGCACTATGCTTTGGAATAGTTCCATAACACAACTTATTTATACTTTGTCCAGGCACTACTGGTGCTGAAAATGTTGCTTCAGAATCAAGAGTTAGTCCTGGAAATGCTTCCTTGAAGATGAAACTAATGGCTGTATTTTGTTGGCCCACCACAGCTGCGGATAGTTTCCCATCAACCTTACAGTGCATTTTTGGATGCATATATAGTACATGGCACTGGCATATTCTTTTAACTATGTGTTGAACTTCTCAAGATTGGTAACATGCATAACATACCTTCATTTTAGCAGTTTTAACTCCTATGGAAAAAAATATATGTTTTGGGTGTTAAATTAAGCAAACACTTACTTTCATTGTGAAAAGCCAGAGTCAAGTATAATGCTCTTATTAGCTCCATGTTTGAGGAGACAAACATCTGAAAATGTAATTATAGTTAATCGTGGTCTTTATGTAGCAAATCCATTCCTAAGCTTTAGAAAATTCCACATGCCGACTCCTTATTTTGTTTGTACAATATTCTGGGATCTGATTGGGAGTGGAACCAGTTCAAGGTTGAAGCAACTGGGGATGGAGTTTACTGTCTGGGTCTTTAAACATGTGAGCACCTTTTGGTTTGATTTTCATTTTGCTTTCAGCTTTTAGACCTTTAACTTTAGGGATATGGATCCTGTTCTCCACAAAAAGATTGTGATTTGACACTGGTTCCTGTCATAATTTTCTTTACCTATCTAGGCAAAATTTGATCAACTGAAGCTCATGGGTCCTGTGATACTTAATGGGATTCTGAAGTTACTTGATAGCTACTCTAATTCAGAATCAGGTTCCTTATGATTATTAATTCTCTGAATTTGATCTGTGCTTCTTATTCTGATTATTAATTGACGCATAAATTAAGCTATTTCAACCCAGATTCAATTGCAATGGAAACCAGAATATTTTGTTTTCAAGCAATTGGCTTGCTGGCACAGCGCTTGCCTCAACTTTTCAGGTGTTTAATCAATCTGGTGTGGTTTCTCCTGGTTCCATCCTGTTTTTTCAGATTGAAATTTGAATAATCAAATCACTGTTTTTCCTAATCTGAGATACAAAATTGACATGGCCATTCTTCTTTTTGATGCACTAAAAGTAGAAGTCCAGTCTGTTTGTTTTATCATTCAAGAGGCAACAAATTCACTTGCAGCTGCGTACATGGTATATCTTCGGAAATCACAGAATTTAAATCATTAGCAATCTCTGATATGCGGCAACTTGTTGCTATGTAAGCTTAATTCTGTTTTGGGGATGAAAAGACTGGTGGAGGAAATATAAAAATCCTTCAATTTAGTGATTTTAGAGACAATTTTGTCATCATATTTGCAAAGAAACATTCCCTTCTCATTTTCCTTAATTGTACTCTAGAAAATGATAATGGGATATGCTCTTTATCCTGGGAACAATTTTGATTAAGTTGCTTGAGCTTTAGAAGGATTTTGTAGTCCTTTTCTCAAGCTTCCTTTTATTTGTACCTTTTTTTTTTTTTTTTTCTGGTGTAGAACAACTTAACAACTTAAGCACATCTTATTTAATGCCTCTAATACCAGTTTATGAACATTAGGGAGCTTCTTCCACTGTGTTGATGGATTTGGAGACTCTGCTGCTGAGTAATTGTCGAGTGGTAGTGGACTTGTACAAATTATATTCCTGCATGTCTTCACTTTACTTTAGAAGTGAGGAATTATTTTTTATCATGACATTAGGGAGCTTCTTCCACTGTGTTGATCTTAATAAGAACCTTGTTCCTTGTTGGTCGGTGATATTAAGATGCTAAAGATATGATTATTTTTTATCATGACTTTGGTTTGGTGTCTTATTCATTTCTTTCTTTTGTTGCTTTTGATCTAAAAGTGTGTCTCTTGGCAGGTTTTCAAGTTTGCCACTCTCTTGGTGGAGGAACGGGTTCTGGGATGGGAACTTTGCTGATTTCTAAGATCAGGGAAGAATACCCTGACAGGATGATGCTTATCTTCTCTGTTTTCCATCGCCAAAGGTTTCAGACACAGTGGTTGAGCCTTATAATGCCTCCCTTTCTGTTCATCAGCTTGTTGAGAATGCTGATGAGTACATGGTACTGGATAATGAGGCCTTGTATGATATCTGTTTCCGGACTCTGAAGCTAACCAGCCCCAGCTGTAAGTATTAACATATTTTGCTTAAATAATTGCCTATCAATTTGATTTGATAGGGGATGGTAGATCAGGATATTTTCTGTTTTTTCTTGCATAAACGAGTTTTCTAGTAATTACCCATGAAGTGTTATAGATCCCTTATCTTAAATGCTTCATTGCTTCTGTGTAACTTTCATTTGTTGTTTGTGACGGTTGGTGATCTGAATCGTCTGATCTCTGAAACCTTGAGTGGTGTTACTTGCTGCCTTGGGTTCCCTGGCAGCTCAACTCTGACCTCTGAAAACTTGCAGCGAATCTAATTCCCTTCCCCCTTCTGCACTTCTTTATGGTTGGATTTGCACCTCTCACCTCACGTGGTTTTCAGCAGTATCGGGCATTGACTGTCCCTGAACTCACCCAGCAGATGTGGGATACCGAGAACATGGGGTGTGCTGCTGATCCATGACATGGTTGCTACCTCACGGCCTCAGCCATGTTCAGGGGCAAGATGAGTACCAAAGAAGTTGATGACCAGATGATTAATGTTCAGAACAAGAACTCTTCCTACTTTGTTGAGTGGACTCCAAATAATGTGAAGTCCAGTGTCTTTGATATTACTCCTAGGGGTCTCTCTATGGCTTCAACCTTCATTGGTAACTCAACCTCCATCCAGGAGATGTTCAGGCGTGTTAGTGAGCAGTTCACTGCCATGTTCAGAAGAAAAGCTTTCTTGCACTGGTACACTGGGAAAGGAATGGATGAAATGGAATTCACTGAAGTTGAAAGCAACATGAATGATCTTGTATCTGAATATCAGCAGTACCGGGATGCAACTGCTGATGAGGAGTATGAATAAGAGGATGAGGAGGAAGGTGTGGCCGATGACATTTAAGAGACAAAAATAAAAGCCTTCAATATCCTGCTGCCCCAGAGAGGAAGGAGAAATTTCAGCATCCGTTTGGTTGCTCATCCACTGCTTAGTGGAAGTGGAAAATTGCATATTTTCCTTCTGGTTTAAGTAGTTAAATATTTGTATTCGAGATATGTTAAAACTAGTCCCTTTTTTTTTTTTTCTATCCTGCTTATGTTTGAATTCTAGCCTTTTTCCTGGGTTTTATTCACTTTCTACTAATGAAGTAGCATTATAATATTTGCTTACTTTCCCCGCTGCCCTCTTATATTTAATTACCAATCTGATTGTCATCATACGTGATACAGTGTTAATTCTGCCTTGAAAATTTTGAATTCGTTAATTCTGCCTTGAGGGGCTCTACAAAGTATCCTAGGAAGGGATGCCAATTATTGTACATATCTCAGGAAGAGGCTGTATCCTTGCTTTTACTCAAAAATGTAGAAGTAGAAGATGGTCAAAAATCGGAATCACTCTATGACAGCCTGGAGAGAAATGAATGGAATAGCTAAAGATTGCGCAACACATTTTGGAAAGAAAGACCAAATGCAATTCCAAAATCAAAAACACGCCGTTTCCCCAAGAAATTTTATCACTTACCGTAAATAGCTGCCAGTGCCATACCATAAGGTGCTCAGGCAACATAATTGATTTCACTACCAGCAACTGGAACTTGCTAAGCTGATCTCAACTGTAACTCCTAACTAAGATGCTTACCTACTTCACCACATTCTGCAATAACTGTCATAGGATTATGTGCTTTATTGCTTCTGATATTCTAAAATGCAGTACTTCAAGAACTCAGAAGGGAACAAGAAAAGAGGTAGATCATAGGAGTTTTGTTGAATGAAACCATGAGAACTCATACAATTATAAGACGGAATAATGGAACACCAAAACATAATAATATCATATTTTATTCATTTTAAGTCAAACCACACACTAAATTACATGGATTCGCAACACGAGCAGGATTAAAAAACAGAATTGAAAAATAAGCTTTTATTCATCTAAACTTTGGCATTTCCCACACATTCAGATAGAAATCCCTCCCCACACAAGACTATATATGGTGTTTGTGTGACAGATCGTCTTGTTCCCGGGTTTGACACCAAGAATTTGAAAAGCAATGTGTTTGGGGTTCCAATCAGAGGTGTCTTCGTGACAGGTTACAATTTGGGTGGCTTTTGATCCCCAAAGCCCGCCCATCAATGGCACCCGGTATGTTTTTGTACGGGAAAAGGAATGACAAAGGTAAAGAGAATAGGGGTATACCAGTTTGTGGCAAGCAACCACATTGCTTGCCACAAATTCCTTGCTCTGGACCTTCAATTCCAAAATGGAGGAATCTTGTATTTGACTGCTGTAGAGCCGAACGTGATGCCCCAAAATGGACACCACGAATTTGACCATTCCCTCCAAGGATGTCACACAGAGCTTCCTCTCTGTTCGCAGAGGAGCCGACTTGCAAATTGTAAGGGTGTCGTTCAGTGATTCTGCTTGGGTTGAATTTGGATTGACGCCAAATTCATCAAGGATATCCGGCAGCTCCTTGGTGGAGATATCGGGCTTCTCGGCAGCGTGGGCAGCAAAGGTAATGGCAGACATGGCAGATACGGGAAAGAGAATGTCCATGCCAGGGTGGAAATTCTCCTCTAGAAAGAATTCTCTAGAGTCGTTTTGTCCACCAGCACGACAATACTTGACCTTCCCTGGCTCGTCTCCCTCGTCCATTGGCAGTAATTTGAGGTTTTGGTTAATCGTTTGGGGAGAGGAACGGTTTTGGACTAAAAGGTTTATCAATACCAGAGGTATTGAAGATGATGAAGCGGCATGGGTGGCTGATGAAAGTGAAGTGGTTTGGTGTGGAGCGGCTTGGGAGGTGAAAATGGTCAAGAAGAACAGAGCAAACAGAACAGAGTATGCCATGGTGATCGGTGGAAGAGGTGAGGCTTTTGGAGGGACAACCGTTGGGCGTTTTCAATATATACGCCCGAGCCAATTTCAGTGGGCCTAGTGGGTCGGTGTGGGTCGGTGAGGAATTTATTACAATTGGTCTTTACTGAATTTATTGGGTCACCGGCCTCAATGACCTTTTTTGGGTTTTAGTCCGGACTGCACATTAAAAGTGCAGTCCCAATGCCAAATTTATTAGATTTACTCTTAATAAATAAATATAAAAAAGTTTCATTAAGAGTATTTTAATAATTTTAATAATTGTATTGTACTTTTAATGTGCAATATAACCTTAAAAATACTTTTTTGATGTTTTAAATCAACTAAATTGTTTAACTATTTAATTGTTTTACATGAAAGTAGTTTAGTAAGAGCTTTATTATTTTTTAATCTTGTTTATTTAACAATATTAAATATATATCGGTAAACAAAGTTATTTGAATTAAAAAATTATAAGTGTAAAATTAATATAAAAATTAATGTGTATGATTTACATGAATAAAATTTTTAAATTAATGGTCAGTTTTTTAAAATATTAATTAAAAATAAAATTTTAAATAAATCCTCCAAAAAAAAAAATAGAAGGATGACCTGCACTATATTATTCTCTATTTATCTGTTTATTTGACTTGAATTTAGTTGGTTTCATGTAGATAGTTAAAATCGAGAGTTTAGATAAACTTGTTTTGATTAGGTAAAATCAAAATTATAAAAATTAAGAGTATATTGAATTAATTTAAAAATTTTATGTTACTAAAATTTAATATCAAATGTTCAAATTTAAAATTTATCTAAGAAGTCTAATTACTAATAAATTATTTCAAATATTTGTTGAGTATTTTTCCATTTCATAGTTATTAAATTGTTTTAAATCTTAATGATTTTGATCTTAAAAAAATTCATAATAAAATATAATTAGTGTAACGTATAAAAAAATTAGTAATACCTTAAAATTGGGTAATAAACACCACTCTAAAAATGTGCTATGGTGATTATTAGTTACACTAAGATACAAAATCTATAAAATTTTTTAAATCTATAAAATGTTGATTTTATCTAATTTTATGAGTTTATTATAATTTTATAATTTTAAACCATAAATTTATAAAATTCTGATTTTAACTTAAATTTAATACAATTTAAATATTTAAATTTATAAAATTGTATAATTTTTGGCAACCATGATTTTAGTCAGTTTTACCATAAAGAGATTCTGAGACAAAGTTGACAATAGTCAAACGGCTTTATAACATGGACAAAATAGTTTTTTTTTTTTTTCTCGTTAGTTGTCAATATCTTAACAGTGCTAAGCCAATAGACGTTGTTGAATAAATAGTATTAATCATTAATATTAAAAAATATGATATTAATAATAAATATTAAAATAATATAAGAATCTAGGTTATATTTGTAAAACCATAAGAAATTGATTAGAAAATTTTTAAAATTTTTGGTAAATAGTTGATTTATCTATGTTTTGCTTACCCTGTTAAAAAAATGTACACAATAAATTTATATATTTTGAGACTGTTTCAAATAAAGTATTTAATAAAAATTTTTATTTAATAATTTGACATTAACGTATCATAATTATGGTTTAAACTATTAGTAAATTAAAAAAGTTAATTTTAGTAAGTTTTTATATTAAGCTGTTAGTATATTATAATTTTTTAATTTTATTAAAAATTTTATTCTTCATAATTTTTACCTTTTTTACCATAATTTTTACTTAATACTTATTTAATTAGTTTTAATTTTATTTTTTTGTCTCTATTACATTAAGTAATTATTACAGTTTCATTTTTTATATTAATTTATCATAAAAAAATATTATCTTATAAACAAAATTTATTAATTAAACAAAATGATTAAAAAATTTTATTTAAAAATAATTAATTTTTTTATTAAAAATAAAAATAAAAATATTATTATATTATTATAATTTATTTTACTTATTTATTATTATTTTTTTATTAAATTAAGAATTTTAATAATAAAATCCTATTCTTGAGCATCTCAAACCAATTTCTCATCGAAGTCCTATGGAGAATACACATAATGAACAGAAACGAATATCCCTCTGCATTTATGCCCACCCAACCCATTGCCTTTATTCTCGTTATCTGCCCACCTACCCCGTTGTCCTACCCTCTCACGAAAGTCCTATATATGGAGAACACACGTAATGAACGGAAACGAATATCCCTCTGCATTTATGCCCACCCAACCCATTGTCTTTATTCTCATTATCCGCCCACCTACGCCCTTGTCCTACCCTATCATCAAAGTCCTATATATGGAGAACACACATAATGAACAGAAACGATTATCCCTCTGCATTAATGCCCACCCAACCCATTGTCTTTATACTCACTATCCTACCCTCTCATCAAAGTCCCATGGAGAATACAATTAATGAACACGAACGAAATATCCCTCTGCACTGCATTTATGCCCACCTCCCCATTTGTCTTTATTCTCACTATCCGCCCACCAACCTCCTCACTTACACGCCCATAAACTTCCTCACCTACCCGCCAACCAACTTCCTCACGTACTCCTCACTTATCCGCTCCACTCCCAGTCTTCTTCAATGACAATGAGAAAGTCTACCATACAACGGGGATCCGACTGACGTGCTATTCCCATTCAATGAGATCATTACAACTCATCAAAATTAGTCGACTTTATCATATACTTTATTTTACAAACAATTCACATGAAATTTAAGAAAAAAGACAAATTTTATGTCTATATTTATATGAATTGGAGAACACATTTAAATTTGTTGATATGAAATTTTAATTTTTTTAGAGATAATACCATTAATTATATCTTAAACTTGAGTATCCTAGACAATATGAACTCTACATTTAAAGCCACTTTTATACTTCAATTTGAAAAAAACTCTCTCAATTCCTCTAAGAAAATTTTAGCTTTTTTTTTTTGAAACTTTTTAGATGATTAGATAGAGAAAACTTCAAATATCATGTTTCAAATAGTTACGGCTCTTTTTCATATGATGGTAAGATACACTAGGCTTCAAATATGTATGTTTCCTCCCTTTTTTCATTTTTCATTTTTTTTTTTTACTAGCAGTTAGTATACGGTCTTAAAATATAAAATTGGCTTACTTAGTTGGGAAAAATTAAAGGCATTGTTTTATCTCTTTACATTATGGCATCAAATATGTTTTGTCTTATAAATTGTCAATTTTCAGAAAAATCAAAATGTTAATATTTTTTCCCTTGCATCTTGGACACTTTTTTTAGTTTTTGTTATTTCGTAATTCATAAAACATGATACCTTTTAATTTCACAGTTACAAGTCGTCTTTTTATTATTTTGAGTCTGTCATTTTTATTTTTATTTTTTTGACATTACCATAATAGAATTTAAAGTAATCGACTTTAGTTTTTAAACTTTATATCACATGCCATGCTCAATTTATTTTGAATTTAAATTATAATATAAATTGACAAACTTAAAAATTTTAAGTTTTTAAACATATGACTCGATTAAAATATATAGATAAAATTTAGCTTTATAAAACACACGTGGCTGTTCTATTGTCTCAATTACTAAAAATTTAATGTTGTTAAACATACGACTGGATAAAAAGACAAAGTACAACTTTATAATTAATACACACGTGGGTTATCACTACGAAGATTGGGACATAGAGAATTCTAAAGTGCTTTGACAGTTGGAAGAATATTCTAAAAAAACAAAAAGAATTCGAAAGCAAATTGAAAGAATATTCGTCGAAAGAGACAAAGAATTATAAAGCATTTAGATGAATATTAAAATTCGAAAGGACCACCACAAGTACGATGGAGTTACCAACATGTTGACATAGCAGCCCCGTCCGCAAATGGATTTCTCTACGGCACAGCAGTAAATTTAGGGGTGGGCAAAAATCGATTTTGGTTAAAATCAAAATTGGTTTTTAAATAACTAAAAATTTTTTCTTTTAATTTTGAAAATTGAAACCGAACAGAAGATTTCACAAACTGATCAATTCGGTTACCAATAAAATCGGTTTGATTTTGATTTTTTAAAAATAAATATTAATCAATTATTTTTCTAATAATAAATTATACTTTATATCATATTTTGTCTTAATTTCAGTTTTTAAGAGGTTTATTTTTTATTTTTAAAAGATTCAATCGAAACCAAATAAAAATTTATTTGATTAATATCAAAATTAAAACAATAAAAATAAAAAACTATTGAAACCGAACCAAATTCATTTTTTTATTCAATTTTCGAGTAACATGTCGGTTCAGTTTCCAAATGCTCAGTCCTAAAAGTAATGCACTAATGCTTCTTGCTAGGAGTGAGTACGGTTTAAAATTTTAGTTTAATTAAAATTAAGATATAAATTATTTATTTTTTTCTTTTATTTTGTAAGAATCAAAGCTGAATAGAAAATATTTATGAGTTTTCAGTTTGATGACCAAATAATTATTTTTAACATCTCAGTTATTGAACTAAATTAACAATGAATGTCCATTTTAAGTTCAACAATAACTATATTTAGTCAAAATTTAAAAGTTTTAAGAGATATAAATATAAAAAAAAAATACAAAAAAGATTGACAAATGAGAACAAAACATAAATTTTGAATATAATTTTTTTACATTTAGATATATTTTAAATTCAAATATTAAATTATAACAAAAATTGTAGAATAAAACTTGACAATGAAATTTAATAAAACAATTTTTATGTTTATTATTCATATTCAAATAACTATTACTTATTTATTAATATAAAATTTTATTTTTTAATTATATATTTATTTTTTTATTTTTCAACTCTCTAATTATTAATAGCATGAAAATTTAAATAATGAGTCAAAATACCAATTATAATTATTAAAAAATAACAATGAATAATATCTCAACTTTCACAACAATAAAAATTCTTAAAATGTCTTAAACTTGGATCTTATTTTAATTTAAATTTTATCGTCTCCCTCTTTGAATCTGCATCCATAAAGCACACATCAATGCATGATATTTTCTTTCTACTCTTCCAAGTTCAAAACTTGCCCTTAGGGATGGGCAATGTTGTTAAAATCATGAGTTTAGGTAAAACCAAAATCGTAAAATAAAATCAGTAAAATTGAGAGTTTACCTAAATTAATTTAAAATTTATATATTACTAAAATTTACCATCAAATGTTTAAATTTAAAATTTGTTTAAGAAGTTTTATTACTAATTAATTATTTGAAATCTTTTTTGTACATTTTTCTATTTTATAATTATTAAATTATTTTAAATTTTAATAATGTTGACCTCAAAAAAATTTTATAATAAAATATTATTAGTTTAACTTATAACAAATTGATAAAACTTCAAAATTTTTGCTTGAAAACTCAAAATTGTCAAATTACATTGTCAAGATTCAAACCACCACCGAACAATCCGTATATAGCCTTGCAAGCACAGCTCCACCAATGCACTAGTGGTGGTTGTTGACACAAAAATCCACTCGATTTTATCCCATTTTACCCGATTTTACGATTTCACTATGATTTTACACTATGATTTTACGATTTTACTATTCTGAGTTTATAAAATTTTGATTTTGACTTCGATTTTACACGAATTGCATATGTAAAATCGTAAAATCATATGATTTTACAATTTTACTCACAATTTTGACAATTATGAGGGTAGGCAAATCATTCTACTTATCCTAAACATTGAAAATTGTCAAATGAAAGAAAACAAACAATTATAACAAATGAGCAGTACAACAATACAAAGGATGAAAGGAACCATAAAATTAAGAAAGCAAAAACCAAAAACCAAGAAAGAAAGGGAGAAAAAAATATACTGGGTAATGAGAAGGACATCTATTGTTGAAGGAACAATTTTCATCAAAGCATGATAAAGCAATCATGCCTAAGTAAGGTGAATTAAAAAATCAAACTATCATTAATTTTACATAGTTGAAAACCAATTAACTCTTATTCCTTAGAAAAATTGCGATCGCTTATATCAACAACAATTGGAAAAAATAAAAAAAACTCCAAATTGCAAGACATCCACGTGCAAGACCAACCCACTTCATTGCTCACTTCCAAAGGGGTTAAGTGAGCTGATCTCTTTCTCTTGTTGCTGGAAGATCCTTTCTCTTAAAAAAAAAAAAAAAACAGATTCCCTTAAATTGCTTCCCAGCTGCCAATAAAGAAAAATTGAAAAGAAAAAAAAATCAAACAACAAAACAAAATCGATAACATAGCTTTATACCCTTCTAAAACGGGTTGCTTACAATTTCTTGAGAAATAAACAGAAAACAAAAACAATCAATTTCTCGTTCGCAACAATTACACACATTTCAAATAAATACGGTTCAAGGCAGCTAAAGGTTTTCCAGAGCAAGATTATTTCCTTTTTTTTTTTTGCTAGGAAGCTGCATGTCTTGCCAATTAAGATGTCATATATAAGCCTGCTTTTTCTTTAAATAAAAGTTAAATTTCTAAATTTATAGAGTAATTGAATTATTGTCAAACTTATTGAAAAAACATGGGAATCATGGGTCTTGGCCATTGAAAAAAAAAAAGAAAAAAAAAGGAATTTGATTTGAATGTCATTGCTTAATCAGCTATTCTCTTCTCTAAACAAAAGTTTGAATCCTAAATTTATAAGCTAATTGAACAAAAAAATGGTAATCAGTCCAGCAGTTCTGGGTCTAGGCAACTGAAAAAAAAGAAAAAAAGAAAAAAAAAAGAGGAATTTGATTTGAATGTCATTTCTTACTCTTTTCTCTAAACAAATGTTTACGTGTTTAATTTTTAAATTTATAAACTAATTGAAAGGAAAGATGGTAATCAATACACTAGAGCACTCTTGGTCTTGGGTCTTGGCAAAAAGAAAATTTTAACTTCGAAATATGGTGGCTTATTTTTAATATGAATTAATAAAAAAATATATTAATTATATTTTTAATATTTATTTTAAAGCACAAATTATTAAAAAAATCCTTTTAAATTAAATGATCTAAGATTTTACGCGGGGCATACCCCACGTGTTAAAGTTTAATTTTGTATGCAGCTCGGCCGGGTTGGACGGGTTTGGCGAGTTGGATGAGTTTGGGGGCTTTGACCGGGTCAAAATGGGTTTTCTTACAAAACGGGCGGCAGAAAATAACCGGCCCATTTTACTGTCCAGGTCTAATTGAACCGGTTCAACTGAACTGGGCCAGGCTGGGTTTTAACCTTTAAAACCATGGGATGGACAATGGAGGGATGATGTTGGGCCTTGTTCCGAAGTTTAGGAATATTTATGACTTTATTTTAAAATAAAACAATGACAATAACTGCTTTTAAAAAGTTAAAAAGATTTTTAGTGGTTTTAAACCTATAATAAAAATTTTAAAAAACCAAGTATATTGCATTTTTAATTTAAATAATGACCAAAAGTAATAAACTTCAACACGTCTACAAAATGTAAATAAGTTTGTCAATTCAACCATCTCCTTCCTTTTTTCGGGTCAAGAAATAGTTTAGTTGTTTTTTTACAATTCTGACCCAACCTATTTTTATCAATTTTTTAGAAACTTAAAATATCATAATACAATGACAAGATTCAAAAACACACAATCTATAAACCCCAAGCACTAATTTGGATTAAAATCTATAAGTAAAAACTAACAAAATGACAGTATGGATGTTAGAAAATATCAATTGAATTAGTACTTAATTAAAATTTTTAATTTGAGATCAAAATTTAAAATTCAAACATTTAAAATACCAAATAGTTAATTTCTAATGTAAAAAAAAAAAAAATTGATATAGAAAATATATCCTTTTGAGTGGGAAATTGAAAAAATCCCACCCACTTAGGAAAAAAATTGAGAAAGTATCCCACCTAAGCCAAAAAAATTCCCAATTAATCAGGAGGGATTTAAGCCCGAACCCCGCATATTGGGCAAACACCATCCGATCCAACGTCGGTTGCTTATTCGGTTCCCAGTTGGTTACCTGGAGGCAAAACCATAAGTTAAGCCCCTAGACTGTAATTGATGCATATAAGCCCTTGAACTCGGGGATCAAAGCAATTAAGCCCTTCCTCTTACGCCAACTTAACTGCCGTTTGGGACTGCTCGCCTGACTTAACTGCCGTTGAGGACACACCCCGCTTGGCTGC